GGGGGCTTTTTTCTTTCATAGTCTCTGTGCATGATGTAAGCCCATTTAATTCACGCCAGCTATACGTGAGGAGTCACGTGACCCAATTTGGCTGGAATTTTGGCTCCGGCCAAAAACTGGGTGCATTTGTCACCCTAGTTCATGTACTATATCAAACTGTTCGTTGGAGTAAAAAAGTATATTAATATGTCATATAAGGTCAACAAAATATACGAATTTAATAATTTGGTCTAAGTATAAGTTCTAAAAACTCTAGGGTATTCAATCGCTGCCAAAACAAGTGAGCACACAAAGGTAAGTCATAAAAACTTTAGATTATATAAATACCGGCAAAAAAACAAGTGAGGATAAATAAGGGCAAAGTAGGGGAGCCATAAGGTAAAATTGAAATAGCCTTGTCCAAATAATCCAACGGAAATTTCATTCGTATACTTCTGTGTGGTCTGAAGCCAGACCCAGAAGCAAAACACCAGCTGAGCATTTCGTTTCAGCTAAAACGATGATGACGATGATCGCACTCCCTCCTCTTTCCTCCTCTCCCAAAACCCTATCCGTCCTCTCCTCTTCCTCCACAAATCCCCACCTCAATCCTAATCCCAAACCCAAAAACCCTCGCCGCCTGCAAAACCTCCTCCTCGGCTCGATCGCCGGAGCCCTAGCCTTCACCATCGTCTCCTCTCCCCCTCTCCCTTCCCTCGCTTCAAACCCTCCGGCGATGGATCCCTCCCTCTGCGTAGAAGAATCGTCGACCGAAGCGATGGAGGACGAGAGGCCATCAGAGTCGATAACGAACGAGGAGATTGTGGAGGAAGCTTGGGAGGTCATCAACGACAGCTACGTCGGCGACGTCGGGAGTCGACCTTGGTCTCCTGAGATCTGGAAGGTACTTTTCTTTTTGGTTGTGAATTGGATTGAATTGAATTAAAATTTTAGGTGATTTCTCTTGTTTTGGTAGAAAGAGAAAGATTATGTCCTTAGTGGGAAGATTCAGACGAGGGCTAGAGCTCATGATGCCATTCGAAAGTCTGGCCACTGTTGGGATCCCTACTACGAGATTCTGTCTCCTGCCGAGGTAAAAATGGTTCATTTCCTAATATTATCAATGTAGCTCAAATGTTGCTTTTTTCTTTTTTCTTTTTTGGACTCAAATGTAGGAAACACATTCGATAATTTATTATGAAAAGTAATAGTTCTTTTATCAAATTTTTTAAGATCGTAGCAATTCACACAACATTGAGAACGAAAGTCTTGATGAAAGTGAGCTCTACGGAAATTATCAGTATTGTGAAGCTTTGAGTTCAGTTTAGAGTTAGCTCTGTAGTTTTAGGTTGCTTTTCTTTAATTGTGTAAATTGATTCCTGTTCAAAGGGGTTAGACTCCCATATATGCTCTATTCTTAAGGTATCACAATTAAATTTCAACTCTTTTATTATTTTCTATCATACTATTAAATTTCTAAAACTCTCCAGCCTAATCTTTTTGTACATTAATTGAACTGTGGTAAACTTCTTAGCCTGGACAGGCTTGTGAGCTAAAACTTAACTGTGAATTGTCGTCGACTAAAAGCTTAAAGAAATTGTTATAAGAAATTTTGTGCCTGTTTCATCATTAACCTTGTGACCTAGTTGTGGGGAGCCCTGAAAAGATGGTCCCTATTTATTTATTATGGCCTAATTTAGCTGTTAGTTTGCTTTCCTTTTTAGATTTTCCCCTGACAGATTTTGTGTTTTCTAGCATTCTGTATTGGTGTACCAACAACACTTTCTCTAATATTTACAATCGTTGGTTAATAGATTCTGTCATCTTCTTTTATTTATTCATTTTCCTTATTCGATTTTATTTTTGTCTAATTTTCCCTTTCTATCTCATATACTCAAAAAGTTGCAGTTTTTGTCTTTCATGTCAAATGGTACTTTCCCCTCTGATGGAAGTTCTCAAAAATGGCAAGGTATGATGTATCCGGAATTGGGATAAACCTTAGGGAAATTCCTGACAACAATGGTGCAGTCAGGTTGAAGGTATTAGGGATCATCTTAGATGGTCCTGCTCATTCAGCTGGTGTGAGACAGGTACCTATTAATGTTAATTATGCTTCTTTTTTCCTGTGAAACGACTATTCCCTTATGAACTATTTTATTGTTTATTTTTGTCAATATATATGTTGGTGTACTGTTTAACAGTGACATGCTTCAGTAAGGAATTTTATTTCAGTTAACTTAAATCAACATCATCCACTGTTGTCTCCAAATCCAATCTCATTTGTCAGCTAGCTGTAATACTAATACCAACAAATTATGGAAGACTATGTAGCAATGACATGGTTATTGGGCAACACCATGTTGGTACAAAGGAGTACCAAAAACCGAGAATACAAAAAAAGAAAAGTTTTAAAACTTGATTAAATGAAATTTGAATTTCTAATATTTATTACTTATTAAATTTAAAAAATACAGAAAAAGAGAAGTAGCAAATATGATATGGGAAAAAGTGTAATGAACAATGACCAAACAATTAGAAAGCATTTTTTCAAATATCCCTGAAAGATCCTTTTAAAAGGCTTTTTTGCAAAATGATATTGTCTCAATATTCTTTACCACTTTTTGGCAAAATTTCAGCAATATATTCTTGACATGGCTGACATATTAGCCGATATGTCCTTTTATGTGGCTTGATGCAAAATAATATTGTTCGCAAAATTTCTTTAATGTTTGTTAGCAAAAATTTCAACCCTATGTTTTTTTAGCAAATTTCTAGTAGGACTTTTCCCTAGTTTTTACAATTGGTTAGCGATCATAAACATATATTATTTACATTGTTATATGCATAAATTTCATTAATTATTTTAGATAATATTTTAAATCATTATAATACATCACGTCATCCGATGTAGCACTCTGATTTTTACTAATATATCCTCGATATTTTCTTGATATTCGCAATCAGATATGAATTTTGGATGTCTGATATTTCCGTGATATGCGATATTTAAAACCTTACTAGCAAGTAATTTACTAGGCAAATATATGAAATGGAGTACCAAAAATCTAGAACACACAAAAAAACAATGTTTTAAAACTTGATTAAATGAAATTGATTTTTTAATATTTATTAATTATTAACTATGAAGAATGCAAAAAAGTAGAAGTAACAAATATGAGATAAGAGAAAAGTGCACTGAACAGTGACCAAACAACTAGCAAGAAAAAAGTAGAAGTAACAAATATGAGATAAGAGAAAAGTGCACTGAACAGTGACCAAACAACTAGCAAGCAATTTATTACTCAAAAATAAATAAATTCACTAGCTTTAGTCATAAAAAGTTCACTAGGAGGGAGAGTAGGAGGTTGTCATATTGAATTGGGAGGGAGATTGGGGAGGTGGCCATTTAGAGTTGGGAATCTAAGATTGGAAGTGGATTTATCATTAGTGTGTTTTAATTTATATTGGTTTAAGTTAAATTATTTTGGAGGGAGTAGGGGGTGGGTTGGAGAGGGCAGTTGTAATGCGTTGGTTTGACCTAAATCATATATAATTGGTGCGCACATAATATTTTATGCGGATGTGTTCTCAAATTTACACCTCATTATGTGGTTTGATCGCATAATGGTGTGAGTTTGCTAGATTCCAATTGGAATTAAGTTGCCTCCTATTATGCAGCCACATGAAACATGTTTTTTGAACTATTTATATTTGAAGTGATGAGCTATGTTACCTAGGTACTCTGATATGAAGCCATAGCTATACCCAAACTACTTGGACACTCCTTGCATATACGTATACATTTATTCGGGAATGTACTCAATTATACAATACATGTTTTAGTTTAAAACTATCGTTGTGCAAATCCCCGGACCCCCCCTCGAACTATCGTACAGTTCCTGCAAACCGATTCTTGGTAGGCTAGTCACTAGTGGTGAGACCTCCTTGCTAATTTGTGTCTTACCACTTCTATCTCTTGACAATTCATTTTCCTTCATGAACCATCAACTCATGCCCAATATCTTTTCTATGTATCCATACTATTTATTTAAGAAAATCCCCAATTGGCATGTGTATCACATTACTTGAAATTTTAGAAATGCATTCACACTTCGAAAAATCAAAGAAAATACTCTCACAACTTGGGGAAATCTACGTAAGGGCCTTCACATTTTGAAAAATCAAAGGAAACCTCATCTCAGTATTGGATAAATTTAAGTAAATCTCCTCACACTTGAAAAATCAACAAAAATATCCTCGCACTTAGAAATCAATAGGAAATGTTCTCGCACTCAGAGAACTCAACACAAACTTCCTCACATAGAAAACTCAATAGGAAAGCCCTAACAGTAAGAAAAATCCAAAAAAAACAACAACAACAAACCATTCATTCCCTTCATAATTCGACAAAACCACTCCCCCACGTTCTTTGTCATTCGCTTATCATGTGCTATGTAGCACGGACACGGATCCGACACGGCCATCCGACACGCCGACACGAGGCAAATCCTAAAAAATACATAGGATACGTGTGTTCGACACGTGTGTCTGACACAGACACGACACGACACGGCTTCATGTTATGCGTGTCCGTGCTTCATAGATCATGTGCACTAGAATACTTACATATGAACCAATGAATGTGTATCCATGCGTATACCATAGAAAGACATGGACTTGATAACAAATAAATCCTAAAGGTCTAGGATATGAAGCATCAAAGAGAGAATACAAAATTAAAAATTTGCTGTAACATTTCCATCATAAGTAGTAAACAAAGGTTCTTTTTTGTTTCAATACAAACAGATAAAATTTTCTTTTCTTTGTAAGAGCCTACAAACAACCTTCAAAATTTAAACATTTCGTGCATTTGAGTGATTAGCTAGGTTATTATTTTGTCTCCCCCTTTTTTAGTCTTTCTTTTGTTAACTAATAGAGGAGATCCCATTGACAGCTATGACTGGGGACAAAAGGTCCATGCAACTTTGCACCAAGATTTAGGAAATTTTTTTCACTATTGTTTTCAGATCTTTTATGGAGAGGTCCATGCAACTTTGCACCAAGATTTAGGAAATTTTTTTCACTATTGTTTTCAGATCTTTTATGGAGAACCTTAATGCATTATGATTCGTGCCTTATGTTGAAGGAAATCTAAACTTTGTATTTGCATAAATTTTATAGTCTTAAACTTTTAATTTAGGGTAAGTTTCATTAAAACTATCACAAACTCTTAGAAGTTTTGCACGAAGGCCGAAACTATTATAAACTTTTTTATTCAAGAAAACTACCTTGAAATTCTTTCACTAAACTATCATGCGTTATGGTTATGAAGGATAAGTTGTCACGTGCATTGGACGTGACAAGTTTGGACAATTTTTTAGTTATGTACTTTTAGATTTTACAATGTACCTCTTTACTATTTTTCAAGAATACTTTAGATCTTTTATACAATACGTTAATGCTATTAATTAACAATTTCTAGTAGTTCATGGTATTTTTCTGTAGTTTTAAAAGTTCATGGTAGTTTTCTTCAATAAAGAAGTTTATGGTAGTTTCTGCAAAACCTACAAAATGAATGGTAGGATTGTGAAATTTACTTGTTGTATATCATCTATATTACCGTCTACCTCGCCTATTTTCAAGGATAGTTTAGATCTCTTATTCAATTTATTAACACTGTTATCACCGATTAGCAATAGTTAATGGTATTTTTTTCTAGAATTTTAAAAATTCATAGTAGTTTTTCTCTAATGAAAAAAGTTTATGGTAGTTCGTGCAAAACTGGTAGTCTTGTGAAATTTACCCTTCGATATAAGAGATCAAAGAACACGCTTATTCTTATGTCTAGAGCATAATGCAGAAGTATACGCTATCCACCTGTATCAAAGAGCATACTGCTTCCGAGAAGTTCTAAATAATGTTAAGAATTGAAGTTATATTATCATGGAGCAACATTTTCAAAGTGTAATCAATTGAGGACACAAGAGATGCTTCTTACAAGTATCCAATGACTACACAAAATATCTTGTGATAGATATATTTTGCAATGCGACCTTGTAACATATACACATAGCTTAGTGGATGGTCTACTTTTAATGGATCAAAGGAGCAACGAGATCATTAGAAATGGAATGGACGTTTGCTTGTAGTTTAGAGGCATGCTTTTCTCCATATAAAATTTTTAGTTCTAAATAACATTTCTTATGGATGCTATAGTTAGTGAATTTCATTAGTGTTACTCCCTCATGAGGATATTTTCTTTAATGCTTTGTCTCACACCTTCACCTTTATAAATACTGCCACACTTATTTGGAATTACTTTATTGACGAGGTATTCTGACATAAACATGGCATGGAGTGTTAGGTGAGTGCTAACTCTTGAAGCTCTTGTACGTAGGTCACACTTGTTCTATTATTTTTTTTCAGAATTTGCTTGTGTTGCTATTATCGTGTCCATATGTCTGTCTATGTTGGTACAAGTATGTCTATATCCCGCTAATCTGTATCTTGTTTGTTAGATAATATTATATGTTTAACTATTTAAGTATTTGGTTATTAGGCATATGTAATGCTCTAATCTCTATTTGAGAGAGATTAGAGTTAGATGAAATATTGCCTTTTTTATTTCTCTAAATGGTAACCAAGACGATATCTCGATCTTAAAGAAATTCACTCTTTTAAGATCCTAGGACTGCTGAGGGGGTTTTTGCTGCAAGCACGACCTCCATGCCTCCCTTTGGTGGCTTTAGCAACCTTAGCTTTAACAACCTCAGTCAAGAACCCTACCCTTTAGAAAAACCTTTTAAAGAACTGCTATTGTTCATCGTGGCACTATTGGCGATGAAGAGTAATCGTGATAATGTTCAATGTGAACGGTATAACTCTTGTATATTTCGCTGATTGCCTTCAACAACTTCAAATCTGATCCGAATAGATCTACATCAATGGGTTTATATTGCACATACATTAAATATGTGTAACATCGAATCAAATTCGTCTTTGACAGAGTCGTTCTAGAACTTTTTGGTCCGTTCCTTCTACAGATATTTGTCTAGTCTGTGCCTTCTACCAATTGGGCGCCACTTCAATCACTCAAGCACAAATCTTCAACATTCCCTAACTGGCCTATTGGCTGACCCGCGTAAAGTTTGAACTGGCTACCCGTCTAGGATTTCTACTAACTTACTCGCCTAGGATTTCTACTAGCTTATTCGCCTAGGATTTCTACTAGATGTCCGCCTAGGGTTTTTACTGGGTTACCCGTCTAGTGTTTCACTAGCTTACCCACCTAGGGTTACTTCTCCCCTCGATATGTTCTTATATTGAGGGTCTTCTATTCTGGTTGGCTGATTATCTACTTATCATAAAAATGAGGATTTAGTTGTGATTTTTGTGTGTCACTCTTTTGGCTGTTGGCTTATGCCCGAGTTATATCTAGCCATGAATATGATTATACTTTTTGGTTGCTACTTTGTGAGATTTATTTCTTGCTTGATGGTTACTTCGAATGAAGCAAACAAATATATGATATTCTTCAACTGCTCAGGACAGATTTAACTTGATGAAAACTCTTCTAAGTAGTTATTTTGTTCTCATATGTAACAAGTTGGTCATATATAATATATATGCTCTAGCTTAATGGGGAGTGTTAGATGATGTAATATGTTTAACTATTTAGGTATTTGGGTAATTGGGGATATGTAACCCTTCTAATCTCTATTTAAGAAAGATTAGAGTTAGATGAAATAATATATTTGTTTTTTCTATTTCTCCCCATCGTTCATTTAAATTTGTCAATTTTAGTGCAATTTAGTTATTGGGTTAGTTGGAATAGACTCATCTTGATTACTATCCAGTTGTATACCTATATACTAAACTCCTCTACTCAATGACATTTTATCTCAGTATTTTATAACATGGTATTAGAGCCAGAGTACTTTCTTGGAATTGGAGTTGCTTATCAGAAACTTGGTTACTTCTCTCCTAGAGGAAGCATGCATTAGATCTTCTCGAGGAGGCTAGTCTTTAGGGTTACAAATTGGTTGACACTCTGATGGAAGCAGATGTGAATTTTTAGGATGAGGAATACAATCTTTTTGAGGACACTAGGCAGTATAGGAGGTTGATTAGCAAATTAATCTTATAGTCACTCGACCTGATATATATTTTGCTGCTAGATTTTTGAGTCAGTTCATGCACATGCCTAGAGAGGTTTACTGGAGAGCAACCATGTGGATCCTTGCCTATATGACTATATCAAAAGCTCTCCTGGAAAGGGATTACTGTACAAGAGCAATGATACATACTACTTATGAGGTGATATGGTCGAAGAATTTGATGATAGAGCTTAGTTTTGTTTACCCAGGACCGATGCCCATGAATTGTGATAAGCAATACCTGTTTTTCATTGAAAACAAAGCACGTAGCTATTGATTGTCATCTGATTAGGGATGCTATAATGAAGGGGGTGATTTGCACTCTGTTTACTTCCTCTTCAAAATGGTTGGCAGATATTTTCACCAAGGTTGCTTCTTCTAATGTGATATTTTTTGAGTGTAGCAAGCTAGGCATGATAGATATCTACGCTCTAGCTTGAGGGGGAGTGTTAGTTTTAGAGTAGTTTACTTATTGGGTTAGTGATTTTAGACTTGTCTTAGTTACTTGTCTTATTTACTATCCAGTTGTACCTTTATATACTACACTCCTCTACTCATAATATTTTATCCCAGTATTTCAGAACAAAATTATATAGTTTTTTTTATATACTACACTCCTCTACTCATAATATTTTATCCCAGTATTTCAGAACAAAATTATATAGTTTTTTTGAGAGGTATTTAGTCATTTGTTGCTTATGAACTTTATATTATCTTAAGGGGGATGAACTCTTGTCTGTAAACGGAGTTGATGTCAAGGGGAAATCGGCATTTGATGTTTCCACTATGCTGCAAGGCCCGAAGGAAACATTTGTTACTATTGAGGTTGTGCTCTCAAAAATAACTAATGAATGAAAAATTTGATGGTATGTTGATTTCCATTCCCTGCTCTGACCGTCTGTTGTAATATGTAAAATGCAGGTGAAACATGGAACTTGTGGTCCAACTCAAAGCATTAAAGTCCAAAGGCAATCAATTGCTCGAACTCCAATATTTTATCGTTTAGAAAAGATGGAGAATGGAAATGTTTCAGTTGGATACATACATATCAAAGAGTTCAATGCATTGGCTAGAAAAGACTTGATTACTGGTACATTTGCTTTATTTCCATATCCGTTCAATGCATACATATTAACTTTGGGAAGAAATGTTAATTTTTCTGTAGATATAACATTGATACAATTCGAATAGTAATAATGTGCACACCATTAATTTAATATTCACTTTATGCCACACGTAAATTCTTCTAATTATTGGACACCTACATTTAAGACTGTTTCCAATATCCATAGGATCTGCTACAACACTGATCTATCCCTTTTTGAACTTCCTAATCCACTGTAATAACAAAGGCAATAAACTGTTTAGATAATGGTTTGCTACATAAAAAAAATTCATTTAATCATCATGCACATAATCTATTGATGTTAAACATGGGTGAAAACTGAAGATTCTTTTTAGATGCTAAACTTAATAAAAGAATAATTTGTAGACAGGTGAATGACAGACATTGGAAGAGTCTACGGGCGTCAGAATGTTGATAGAAAACATAAAAATTAGATCAAACTCCTTTTTGATATTTACCTCATCTCGCAAGCAAACAAATTTCCTCAATAAAGAAGATACTTTCCAGAGATGGAAGGAGAAACTGATGCCGATGATTTCTTTCTTTGTTGGTGCCATTTCGTCATGGTCTCTCAGTATCTTGCGTGATGTGACTAAAGAAAAGTGTCGTCGTCATAAAAACATTTCAACGAGGATGATGGTGTAATACTTGGGCATGACCAAGATTCTGGTATGGGCATGTCTCTAGTGGCCATTGAAAGATGTGGAGTCAGTATTTATGATGAAGGCTGCAAAGCATGAGGAGGCAGGAGGGTCAGTTTGTATTGATTGATGAAATTAGGATCTTCAGTGATGGAGTTCGAGGTACCTGGAGTTTACACATGCATCAAGGAGATGTTGGGAGTTTCATGAGAAGTTTTAAGAGTATGTCTCTGATTGAATCATGTGGAAAATCCTCCATCAGATTCTTCATTTTTCTACCGAGCGTAGAAATAATATTAATAATGCTTGAAATTGCCACAAAAAAAATATATATATATAGAGAACGAGAGAGAGAGAGAGAGAGAGAGAGAGAGAGAGAGAGAGAGAGAGAGAGAGAGAGAGAGAGAGAGAGAGAGAGAGAGAGAGAGAGAGAGAGAGAGAGAGAGAGAGAGAGAGGTAAACAGTTGGACTATAGTAGAATTGCAAATGTAAACTCACTTGGAATGATACCAACCAACGGTTGCATTGGCCAAGTTGGACCAAGTTTCACTTGAAAACTGGTTAGGTTGAAACTGAACTCAACTTGAGATGCATGATTTGTAGAGCAAAGGTTGAGTTTCCCATGTTGGACCCAGGCTCACGTGAAAGATAGTTCTATTCGGATTAGGGTTGAAACTGAACTCATGTTGACGTGCCTGGTTTGCACAATGACAGCTGAAGAATCTTGTATCTTTAGAGGAGTGTTGGGATTTGTAGTTGGTTTGGAAGTGGCAACTTGTGACTAAATAAGTTCAAGAATATTATTCTTGTCCTGTTGTGTATAGTTTTTATTAGAGACTTATCCAAGCAGATGCTTATTTAAAGCACATGGTAGATGTGTTAGCATAAATATTAAGAAGGATAACTCTGACACATGGAAGCCCTATTGTTGGATGTTGGGCCTTGGGTGAGAGGTAGTCATATATTTAGGATGGTCGATTTTTCCTTCCCAGATTATCGGCTATAACTTGAAATGAGTAGACATATTGAACGATGAGAATGCAACATAGATATTTTTATTAGTGACTGATCTTTTTTCAGCTTTATTGAATAATCAGCATTGTGTCTTGCATTCTAGCCTTTGCTTCCTGAATCATCATTAATCATCTTTACATAATAACAATAGGAGACTATTTACAAATTGCAGCGCTGAGACGCCTTCAAGAATCTGGTGCTTCTTACTTTGTTTTGGATCTCAAAGATAATCTTGGTGGACTCGTGCAGGTATGTTAGGATCTTATTATTTGCTTCATTCACAATTTAGACTAGATACATTTATATAAGTCCAACTATCAGAAATATCCTTCCTTTTACTTTCCTAGTGCATTGAATTGTTTAATATGATATTGTAAGTGTAATTATTGGCTTTTGATCCAATAATATGTAAGTTAATGAAGATAACCAATTATGGCTGTGACAGATGCATAACACTGCAAAAGAAAGCATATGCTTTGAAGTTTATTTGGAAAAATGAATGTGATAGTTGTGGGCCTTACTGCTCCCTGTTGTCTACTGGATGATTTACTTCACTCAGAGTTCATGTTTCCATTAGTTGTCTGTTTTTCACTAATACAGCTTCTGTGAAAGATATAAGCTGGCAAGTTTTATTGACTTATTTATCATAAATTTGTGAAATCATTTGGATATTGAGAGCTAAAATCATGTTATCCCAAGCCAGAGTCATGTGCTCTCTTGTTCTAGAGTAAACATCACTATGGAATTGACAAATGCCATGCTTTCTAAAGGCCTGCTTGGCAAAATGTTTAAAAGCGGGGCAGGATTGAATTTGGCTTAAACTAGGTTGCAATTGGTTCATGAGAGGGGTGGTCGCAGTGGTGGTTTGAACAGAGAGAGGGGTGGCGGCGGTCGTGGTTTGAAAAAGAACCTGTTTAAACCCAAATTTTGGCTTGGGCCAAGTCTGGCCCAGTTTTAGACAAACACAGACATAATCAAAAGTGGTTCAGGATCAGTCTTGGCTTAGTGTCGAAGATTTGCTAAATTCACCCTAACGTCTACACAAAATCTGAACCAACCTGTACTTACTTTTTATATTGCCTTCATCCTGTTATTAATATTATTACTAAGTATTGTTCTGTTCTTTTGACTGTAATACTGTGATTACTATTATGTGATGTTGGAGAGAAATCATGCAGAAATCAGTCAGCTCTACTACACAATCGGCTATGAAGAAACGTAGAAGATCGTGTTTTTAAGGTTAAAAGAGAGTCTAGAACAAATTTATAAACCATGACCCGACTCTTTGGTTAAACTTCTGGCTTTTAGGTTCTGCTTCTTTCAAATTAGTGATACACCATAGGCTGGTTGGTTACTAAAGGACTAATTGTGTAACCACCGAACTTCTCATCTTTAGTTTTTTAAAGCTATTAAAAAAACTATCATGAAGTCTAAAGCTCATGGTCGCTATCTGGAACAAATAATGTTAATGGTAATTCTCTGAAAACAGTGAAATTCATAGTAGGTTCTTATAATTTACCCTTGCTATATTCAAATCTTTCTTCAGTTTAAGCCCTTAATTTTATCTACAGAAGCCGTGCCCTTGGCAAGTAAATACTTCATGAGGACCTGTAAGTCTTTTATCATTTCATATAAATTTTTTTTTCTGTAGTCAATCAATGCCTCCAGTATATGTGCAATACTGCAATGAATTTTATAGTTGAATGCTTGCAATTAATAAAATTTTGATATGATTCTACTAGAAGCCGTGTCCTAACTTTTGTATTTATTTTTCTTGATAACCACATATCTACTTTTGCATTGCTCATACTTGTGATACAACTCTGGTTACTTGATTTTGATATTGCCATCATTCTCTTTTGTAGACTGGCATTGAGGTTGCTAATCTCTTCCTGACGAGAGGAGAAACGGTACGCAATCTTCTACTTGTAGACACACATACACACACACACACAGAGAGACTAGACAGAGAGAGAGATATGAATATGTGCATGTGCGTTCGTGTCGTAATCATCCTATTTGCAGTGTAGGAGAAATTTCTGTGTTCCATGTGCTATTTGCATGAAAATTTACTATCCAATAGTGTGAACATTCCTTCATATGCCAAAAAGAATGTCTTTTTACCCTGTGAAATACCATATTACTAAAATAAATTTAGCAAACTACACTGCAAACCTAGCTGCTTGCTTATGTTTTTAATACAATCCAAAATAAATTCGTTGCACATCTGGTATTTTGAATGTCTGTTCAGTGTAGCCCCTTTCTGATACCTGCAAAGAACTACCATTATGTCTGTTATTCACCTTCACAACACAGTTCTCTTTGCATATTCCCAATGTCAATTGGCCTTCCTTCATATTGATGTTCTGCCACCAGCTTCTAGTTGTGTGAAAATCACTGATTTTTTTAATGAAGGGAGAAGATTGTATTATACTTTTGAAGTTCATCATAGGGTCCTCTATGACAATCTGGCTAGGATGCCTATTTCAGTTTACGGGAATAAGCTCTTCTAGGTTTACTCTGATATGGTTATGAAATAGTTCTTTGCACGTCATATGTCCTTATTCTTTTGTGGACGATGGACTCATTGATATTAATGCCTATTTCAGTTTAGCTGCATCCCGTCAAAGTTGAGGATGAATTTTGTTCTTAGCTAATTTAGCAGGCTATCAAACAGACTTTTCCTCTTTAGTGGTTATAGTCTATGATCTGTTATTACTTTCATATTGTTTAATATTTTTTGCCAGGTCATCTATACTGTTGGGAGGGACCCACAAGTACAGAAAAGGATTATTGCAGATACTGCGCCTGTGATTACAAATCCTGTCATTGTATGCCCTATTGCCCATAAGTCTTCTAAATTCAACTCTCACAGTTTTGTACAGTGCATGATATTGTTTTGCAAATTGTGTTGCCTGTATCTTTTTCATCTGAAAACTCTAATAAGTTGCTTGTTGCTAAAGTCTTGTATATGAAAACCATAAATCTGTTGTTGGAGAATGACATGCAGTGTTTGCTTTTATTATTATTATAATATTTAAAGTTTGTTAATTTTTAAGCTTCACATGAGGGGTTTGAAAATATATGCAGTCGATGTTGGTTGTCATAAAATTTTGCATTCCTACCTCAGGCAGAATTTAATACATCAACTTCAAATTTTCTGGGTGCAATTGTGCCTATCAAAACATCTACCTTTTAAAAGTTTTGGTTCATGTCTACACCCTGACAAATTGCAGTTTCTTGTGTTTACTGTATTCTTGTCCCATGTAGACTCGGTTGTGGCAATGACCAACCTTGATGCCTATTCTTGTCTTGCATCTTGAATAAACCTATTGTAGATAGCGAGTCTGTCTTTTATGTTCAGTTATTATTATGAACCATGAGTATGAGTAAAGGCATTGAAAGGTTAAGTATAAATATGGGAATGATAAGTATATTAGATTGTATAAACAAGAACATAATATCTATTCAGTGTTCTTGGAGATTCTATTTTATGACAATGCTAAATATATTCTAGAGATTCCCCAGTAGTATTTGTGCAAAATCATGAAATGCTGGCTCTGTGGGAAATTCGTAACAGATAGAGCTTTAGGGACTATATTTACAAGAGCGTTAGGTAATAAGAACTTGTTAAACGTGTGAAATAAGCATTTCAATGATGTAAATATTTAGATAAACTAGATGAGCATAGCTTTCTCCACCAAAGTTCCTGTTTCAGTGCAATGCTTATCAAAGTCGCACGCCTCATGTGCCTTGCAATGCTGGGCGGCAGAGAAGCGCTCCGTATCTGATGTGGCAATGACTTTTTATGTCTCATAAGTGCCATGTGCAAGGGCATTTGGCATAGGGCTCATGCAAGGCATAGTCACATATATTTTTGTTCTTTAAACATTATCGAGACTTTATACCCGATAAGGTTATCGATAGTGGATAGCGTCGCTTAGCGGTAAGGTACGACTAAGGCTATTTGCACCTATAGCGGCAAAATAACAGCAAATAGCAAATAGTCAAATAGCGATCAAATTTGAATATAATTAAATATTCTAAAACTAAGAAAAATTACAGAAAATTAAAAATGCTACAAATGCATATTTAATGATTTATAGAGATCCTAAGCATAAAATAGATGTGTAACAATTGCATAATATTAACAAAGTACTATAAAGAATAAAAAAACATACTTGTTTATCAAAAAGACCGTTATTTGTTCTATTCCTTCAACTTTCAAGTATCTAATACAAAAATTCTCAACAATCAAAAACCATTGATTAGTAACGCCATCATTATATTAACTATTCAAAACTTGACGTAAAAATAGAATCTTCAAGCATAGATAAATGAGCAAAGCAAGATAATGTCATGATAGATAATAACAGACTATAGAGGGAGAGAACGAGAGAGGGGGGGGGACGGGTTGGTAGGGTAGAATATAAAAGCTATCCACCAAATAAAAGTAGGTTTTGGCAGTTAAAAACGCTAAAAACTAGCTATGGCTTGCAATCACAAGCAAATAGCAGTTTTGGCTGCTATTAACTACCGCTGATAGCATAGCGGTAGCCAACGCTAATGCTATGAAAACTGATTTAGCAGTGCTATGTACCACTATTTACAATAGTGGTACCCGATAACCCATGTGTCCCAAAAAGAAAAATAAAGCCATTAGGCCATTTTAGTAGCTCAACTGAGGACCCTAACTCATTCTTCTTTACTAGTTGATTTTACTTCGATATTACTTTTGATTTGGCCTTTGAATCGGAAAACTATGAACTTTACTACTATGGTTGGTGCTATCCCGTAGGTGTGATGCCTTGAAATTTATCTGAACCTTTCGTCTCCTGATTATCCTTCTCCTCATCAATCCCAACTCATCTCCCCTCCAAAAGAATCCCCAACATTCAGCTAAAAAAAATGTCACTGGTCACATATGCCTTCATTTGTGTTCATTGTCCATCTTCCCGTTGGATCTTGCATCCTTATTCATCGTTGTCAGATTCCCCTTTGCTGCCAATTCGAAATTATGTCAAGATTGAAGCCCTCGCTCCATTCCCTATCACACTATGTGCTTTTTTTTCCGTAATGAATGGAAGATAAATAGATTTGTTGCTATGAAACAGATGTGGCACTTAAATAACTATAAAAATTATTATTATCAAATGTACATTTCTCCTTAATAAGAGATACAGAGCGAAGGTATAAATTCAAGTTGTTTCAAAGAATATCAACGAGTATCCGGGAGCAGCATGGTGACATTCTTTAAGACCTAAAATTATGCTAGTAGAGAAATTTTGATTGTTTTAATGGTTCAAGCATGTAACTAAAGAGAATAAAGCAAGGCTTAATTGCTTCTGCTCCTCAACCGAGCTCCTCATCCTTTTAACTTTTTCCTCAAGCTTTCGCTACCCATGACGTCAAGAACCATGTTTCCTCTCCGTCGTCTCAACATAACATTTTCAAAAATTCCTAAACTGCCAATGTCTTCTATCTGTTCATTTTCTATTCTCTCATTAATCCATGAATCATGGTTCCAACTTCCATCCCCTTGCTCAACCGCTGCCTCTCTCCTTCATAGCCGACCTCTCCTCCTTCACCTCGTCGCTTCCCACTGCTTACCTTCACCTTTGGGTCTCGTGAGAGTGGGCTAGTAGTGGGGCAAGAACGGAGGTGCACGCGAGGGGAGGTGGCATGATGTAGCGGTTGAGAAAGGTGGACAGAGTTGTTATTCTATGTTTTTGTGCATGATTGTCACCCTTGTTCATAAATGTCAAGGTTGTGGAAAGCGGAAGGTGGAGCAAAGCGATGAGACACCGCTCAGGCTGCTTGGGGCTTTAGCAATAAAAAGCGCAAAGTAACAAAACGGTCCAGTTTAAATATGTATAAATATGTCAGAGGAGAGGACTTAGAGGAGGAAGTGGCTTTGACTGGAGAAGGAGGTGGAGGATTTTCCACTGAGATAGTGATGGTGATGGTAAGCTTCGACGAGAAGCTCGAGAGAAGATGATGTTGTGATGATGAAGGCGGAGCTTGCTGGAGAAGGATTTAGAGGTGGATTTGGTGGTGGGAGGTGACAGAATTAGCTGGAGGTAGTGAACAA